CCTTTTACTCTCGCCGGCCTAGTTTCGAAGTCCTCTGAGAATCATTTACCTATCAATGATATGAATTCCTCTCTTTGCACTTTCGTATGCAGACACAATATGAGGTGCAGAATCTAACAGTTCCTCTCTTGTAAACCAGCGRTCTTCAYTAGGATCTTGATATGCAAACCTTACTTTATACTGTCGTTGTGGTCTGCCTCTACGTCCAGTGTGGTAAGTACTTTCCACAACAATTTTATCCACGTCATACTTCCCATCCATACTTGGAGGTATCGCTGATCGGCGACTTTGGAAGAGTTCATTCGTTACACAAGGTAAGAGCTTGGATGCATGAAACACTGGATATGTACGTAGATGAGGAGGAATCTCAATGACATACGAAGGACCATCCACATCTCCAATTACGTCTAAAACCTGCCAAGGTCCTCTGTAGGCGGGTAAAAGCTTCTGAGAGATGCTTTCTTCAGGAGCAAACTCTTTAGACTTCACCCAAACCAAATCTCCTACAGCAAATTGGGACGGTCGTCTGTGTTTATTTGCCTGTTCAATCATTTGATGCTGTGCTTTAAGTACATTTTCTTTTACTTTCTCAATGTCTTTCTGATATTGGACTGCAAACTCACTAGTCCCTACAGGAAGCTTATGTACTTGATCTGGGTTCAATCGATCAATGGGTCTGCGCGGACGCCATCCCAGATGTAACTCCATAGGAGTCTTGCACGTAGATAGGTGCACAGAGTTATTATAGGCACTAGCAACCTTAGGCAGCTGTTCATCCCAGTCAATCTGGTCGGGACGAATGTACATGCGCAAAGTCTGCTACAAGATCTTATTTATCTACTCAGTCTGACCACTAGTTTCAGGATGTCTACCTGATGACATTGTCAACTTAGAGCCATATACATTCATCAGTTGCTGCCATTGTTCACTTGTGAATCGAGTATCTCTGTCACTCACAATAGTTAAGGGATGTTCAAAGTCTTTCACCCAATGGTTAAAGAACTCCTGAATTACCAAATCAGTCTTTGCTTCCGAAGGCAAAGCTACAAAAACAGCATACTTCGTGAATCTATCCACTATGACCATTACTTGCGTTTTCCCATTTCTGCTTTTCACTTTAGTATCCATGAAATCTATAGAGACAGAGTCTCCAGGGCCGGTAAGGATAGGCAAGGGCTTAAGTAGCCCGAGGGGCGATTGCGTGGTGCTTTTGTTTCGTTGGCACACTTGGCAACCCTGCATATACGCGATACAATCCGCTTTCATTCGAGGCCAGGTGTAGGAGCGTAACAAGGTCTCATAGGTCTTCTTCCACCAAAAATGGCCTTCTGTATCATGGCATTCCCCCAAGATCATACTCTTGATCTCCTCATTATTCGGTATACACARCCTATCATGCACGTCAGTTCATTCAAATAATAGACCCAGAGTTACTTTATGATCGGGAAACTCTGCTGGTTTTTCTTGCACTAGCTTAATCATGGTTCCATAAACAGGATCAGAGGGATACACATTTCTAATCTTTTCATGTAGGTTTGCACCTACATCTAGATAAGTCACAATAGCACCGAAAAAGTCTGATCTACGACTTAGTGCATCAGCAACAACGTTATATTTACCCTTTACTGGCTTCAACTCAAAATCAAACATTGCATCAGCAACAACGTTATATTTACCCTTTACTGGCTTCAACTCAAAATCAAACATATCAATTTTCGCAGCCCACCTTGTCAACTTAGGTGTCATTCGAGCTTGCGTTTTGAGCCAGCGAAGTGTTTCATGGTCAGAGTACACTTTAAAATGTCGTCCCAGAAGGTAGTGTCGCCAATGATTGAGAGCCTCACGTAGTGCATACAACTCTCTTTCATACGTCGAAGCGGCCACCTTCTCATTAGGCAGTCGGCAAGACATAAACTCCACGGGCTTGTATCCATGCCCATCGTCTTGCTGAAGGACAGCACCTATACCATATTGACTAGCGTCGGTTGTGACTACGAAAGGTAAAGAAGGGTCTGCCACTTTAAGAACCGGATAGTTAATCAAACACTTTTTCAGACGCTTGAAAGACATCGTGCAGTCTGAATCCCACTTCCAGATTACTTCTTTCTTAAGCAATTGGCGAAGGAGAGCAACTATTATCGTGAAGTGTCTTACGAACTTTCGATAGTAGTTGGCGAACCCAAGAAACGACCACAACTCAGTCAGGGTGCGGGGGTTTGACCAATCTCTGATTGCTGCTATTTTGGCATCTTCCGGTTTGACCCCATCTCCATCAATCACATGTCCCAAGTATAAAACCTGACGCTTAGCCCATTCACACTTCTTTGGGTTTAACTTGAGTTTTAATTCTCTCAATTTATTTAGCACAAGTCAAAGGTGCTCAGCGTGCTCCTTTTCATTTTTGCTAAAAATTAAAATATCGTCTAAATAAATCACAACAAATTTATCGAGCCATTCACGAAAGAGTTCGTTCATCGTTCTTTGGAAAGTAGCAGGGGCATTCGTTAGACCAAAGGGCAAAACTACGAATTCATAATATCCATACCTTGTCCTAAAGGCAGTCTTGTGTTGGTCTTCCGGCTCAACCTCAATCTGATGATAGCCGGATTTCTGAGCCTCTTCCTCTACCCCAGGTGGAGTAAGAACCACGACCACCGTATGAGGGACCATTTCCCCTTCCTCCCACGTAGTGGCTTCCTTCACCACCACTCCTCTGGGTGCCGAATCCTCGTCCACCACGGCCGCGACCTCTTCCTCGGCCACGCCCTCTTCCTTCACGCCCTCCCCTGCGGGCTGCAACAACCGCGTAACTCCCCTCCTGAGCTATCGGTCTGTTGGGTTCATCGAGACCGTAATCTATTTGGTCCCAAGAAAGTGATTCGACACCTCCTTCTTCAAAGGTCAGAAGGAGGTTGTCTTTCCCAGGTATTGATCCTGAGATGGTGCGGTTTTGCCATCTTTTGCCCACTTGCAGATCTTTCCAATAGTGGCAATAGTTGGCTTCAGC